GAGTTGCCATACTGACATAAATGAACATTTGCACGATATTCTAATTTTTCGAGTTTCACCATATCTGCCTTGCAGAGGATTTGGGAGAGTACTCTGTGCTGCATTCTTGCCCAATTTGGTGCCCTCCAAATGAACTCCCTGAATTCTGTAGCTGTAAAAATCCTAGGATGGCTAATCAGGATTGTCAAAATTCCTGGAGTTGTACTCCAGAAAGGAGCAGAAAGTATGACTTGAGATGCTTATCTGCATTATTGGGCTTCAGCTTGAACAGAATACATCAACTATCATTATGTCAGAACTGTACATTAGAGGGGAACTTGAAAACCTTTACCAATCATCTCAGTGAGAAATATTCAGTTAGCTTTGAAGAAATCTCAGATTCCCAGAATGCCACACTATCCACTTAAGGAAGTTTGCCAGCTTCAGTTTCTATGCCATTAACTATTGGACAGACGAGGCAATCTTTCTTAAGAGCTTGACGGAGTACTTAGCCCTTTGCTCTGTAGACTTCTAAAATTGAATATACTTACTTGGAAACCTCTATACAAACGAACAGGCTTTGTATAATCTTGATGTCAAATGTTCACAGTTAATTGCTGCTATATTTTCCTTTTAATCCATATGACGACTGACAGGCAGACAGCCAGGTGGACCTGGTCAGACAGCACTTCTATGAAGTTTCTCTTGAGTATGTCTTCAAAGTTCAAGAGGTTCAAGAGAGAAAGATGTTTGAGTTTGTGGAACCAGTAAGTAATTGTCAAGCATTTCTTCTCTGAAATATAACATAAATAAATTCTGTCACAGTGAATGCTTTAGAAAGTAATGATAAGGTGGCTTCTTCTTCTTCCATTTCAATGATATATTTGAGGAAACAATACATAAATAAATCAGAACATCTAACATTTGCATTTTCCTGAGTTTTTCACTTCGGGTAATTAAAAAAAATAAGCAAAAGCACATGTGTTGGGTGAAAAAAAAAATCTTATACTCAGAAAAAGATGCCAGTCCTCCTATATTTATTTAAAAATATTGCTGCTAGAAAAAGTGAATCCAGAGTTGCACACATTAAGAGAAAAATGCAAAAAGAAGAATATTTGTGCATCTTCATTTAAATCTGTAAACTAGAAAGGCCAGAGTGAAACCAATCTTAACACATCTGCTCATCCCTACAAATAATTTACCTTCATTGAGCAGAATAGAAACAATTCCCGTGTGAATAGAATGGAAATAATTATGTGCAAATATCACAAATATGGCTCTTTAACCACTGCTTCCAATTTCATTCCCTGGAAGGAAAGGTAGATACTGAAATGGTTGATCATCATCTACTGCTGTTGTCTTTATACTGCTGTAACATTTTAATTAAATTCCAGTATCCTAAGAACAAGTACATGTTCTTAGTTGAAAGATTATAGTAACTCTGAAGCATGAAAAGAAAAACAATTAAAAGAGGATATTACTGGAAGTGGCCCAAATGTTATAGACAGTTGGACTGTGTAGTGCTTGAGATTTGACTCCAAAAAGGTGCTTCAAAGCAAGCTGGAACATAAGCATATACCTGTCTGTAACTCCTTCAAGTTGATAGAAAATCTGGGAAAAGATGTGGCTGTTTTATGGATTCTAGATAGGTGCTACGTTTGTGCCTCTACTTCTGTAGCAGAATTGGAATTGAATCTGAGATGCCACACAGTTCTAGTAAATAATATTGTAAGGTTTGTTGTACACTCAGATGCTATATCTGCTTCAGAGCTTCTATGGGATGCAATATCTTGTGTTCGCTGATGTGTTAGCTATGAGAGAAAAATAATCACAGTGAGCATCAATCATGGTTCCAGCACCAGTTATTTAGGTATTTATTCTGGCAAAACATATTTCTAACCATGAACTTTAGAAGTGGATGGGTTTTGGAGGGGAAAGAGAATAAACTCCATAAAGGGAGGTCATAGCCAACAGCAGGTTCAGAAAAGAGATCGATTTTCTGAAAAGCTCCCATTTGTCACAAACAAAGCCACAGAAAGGGAATCCTTATTTATGAGTTATGTTAGGAATACTACATTTCTGCAACTCTATTTCAAGTGTTGGAAATGTGTTATTTCAGTAGTCTTCACAAGAGGAATGAGCCAGAATTGCTCCCTGGTACTACTGTATTTGATTTACTGGCCTTTCTTACAGCACTATTCTACTTTCATCAGTGCTCAGCTCTTTCTGGCCAGCTAGGGGACAAATGACAGAGAGGTGATGCTGCTCTGCTGATTGGTGGAGATCAGCTATACAGCAGGGAAAAGAGGCTGAAGGGCCACTGCTTAACCACACACCTGGGCAGCCAAGTTGTATCTTCCTTGAAGCTTGCCCATTTTTCCCTCCTGCTTAGCTACATAAATGTATAGGGAGGAATGGGAGTGCCAATAGAAGGGAATATGTGTAGCTCAGGGTTGAACTCTGGAGTCCTTGGGGTTCTCTGAGCTTGGTTGTT